CCTGCCTGGGCTGCGGGGGGGCCCGGCTCTGGGGGGGGGGGTTTCTCCCTCCGCCTCCTGCAGGCACCGGTCTCCAGCGCCTGCGCATGCGCAAAAGTCCTTTGCTAGGGCTCGCGTGTTCTCTCGCCCTCCCCCCACCTCCTGTAGACGCCGCTCCCACCTACTACCTCCGCGCATGCGCACAAGCCCACTGCTGGGGCTCCCTCTTTGTCCCTCTTCCCCCTCCCCACCCGGTTCCCTTCCCGCCGGCTGCGCTCCCTCCTCCGGCCGCGAGGGGCCGCACTTGCGGAAAGCTGAGGCGCCCGTGAAATCCTGGCGGCCAGCCCGGAAGCGGAAGCTTCTCCTTCTGACCGAGAGGGGGCGGGGGAACTGGCTGCGCCATAGAACGCCGGCGTACGGGAGGGGGGGCGATTTCCTTTCGGGGCTGGCGGGCCGGGGGGGGGGGCGAGGCCGGGGGGGCCAGCCGAGGCCGGTGAGTGGAATGTCGGGGGGGCGCTGCGAACGGGCTCAACGGCCACTAACCGTCATGCGGGGCGGGGCGAGACTGGCGCGCTCCTGTCTGCACTTAAGAGCAGGCAGGGACTTGTCCGACCCCTGTTGCCCTGCCTCCCCCGTGCCTACTCCTGACCTGGCTGCAGGGAGGGCTAACTAGAGCCCCTTCAGCCCTGTGCATCCTGGGGGAAGGTGCCATGGGGTAATAATGCTCGTGGGGGTGGGGGCGGGGAACGGCAGGCCCAAGGTCAAGTGGAGGAGGCATGTGCCACCCCTCATTCTGTACCCATTGCAGGGAGGGGCCAAAATGAAACTCGCCTTGTGTGGTGGTGCTAGCAAATGTTCAGGTGCGGTTGCTGGGACAGGGTGCTGCCATTTCCCGCAGGTCAGAGGTTCCCATTTAAACTGTGTTACCGTTTTCCTGATACGCGAAATAGTGTTGAATTGAGTTGAGTATTCGTTTTCTGCAGATTCTGCTGTGCCCTCACCGAGAAGACCAGGCCATGCCTGCCATCGCCAGCAGCCGGCTCCGCACCTGAGGTGCCTGCCCCAGCGAGGCCATGGCAGCCGCCACCATCGTGCATGACACGTCGGAGGCGGTGGAGCTGTGCAGTGCCCACGGGCTGTACCTGAAGCCCATCACGAAGATGACGATCAGCGTGGCGCTGCCCCAGCTGAAGCAGCCGGGCAAGTCCATCTCCAACTGGGAGGTGATGGAGCGGCTGAAGGGCATGGTGCAGGCCCACCAGTTCTCCACCTTGCGCATCGCCAAGAGCACCATGGACTTCATCCGCTTCGAGGGTGAGGTGGAGAATAAGAGCCTGGTAAAGTCTTTCCTGGCCTGCCTGGACGGCAAGACCATCAAGCTCAGCGGCTTTTCCGACATCCTCAAAGTCCGAGCGGCCGAGTACAAGATAGACTTCCCCACCCGGCACGACTGGGACTCCTTCTTCCGCGATGCCAAGGACATGAATGAGACGCTGCCGGGAGAGAGGCCGGACACCATCCACCTGGAAGGCCTGCCCTGCAAGTGGTTTGCTGCCAAGGACTCGGGCTCGGAGAAGCCGAGTGAAGACGTTCTGGTGAATGTGTTCGAGAAGTTTGGGGACATCCGCAATGTGGACATCCCCATGCTGGATCCCTACCGGGAAGAGATGACCGGCAGAAACTTCCACACCTTTAGCTTCGGAGGTCACTTGAACTTTGAGGCTTACGTGCAGTACCGTGAGTATGCGGGTTTCATCAAGGCCATGAATGCCCTCCGAGGGATGAAGCTGATGTTCAAAGGAGAAGATGGCAAAGCAGTGGCTTGCAACATAAAGGTGAGGAGCTGCATGGAGATATTAACGTGATGGTTTTGAAAGGCTCCCGAGCTTGTTAGCTTGGGGCCTGCATGGAAGAAACCAGGAGCTCTATATAGTTATTCACCTCTATACACCTGGAAAGGTCGGAGATATGACAGGAACATGCAGGAACATAAGAATTGCCGTTGACTGGGTCTGACTGTAGGTCTGGACCTTGCCCAGGGTCGTGTGTCACGCTGGCAGAGAGGAGATGCTGAAAGGCAGAGGGAACAGGGTCATGACTAGGGCTTTTTTTTTCTTCTTCACTGTTCCCTTCTCACTTGGAGCCTGTAGCATTTCAGGTCTAGGCCGTTCTGATTCAGAGGCTTCACCCCTCACTTCCATGCTCAATCACTAACACCCCTTTCCTCCAAGAATTGGTCCAATCACTTTTTGGCATGATTGGAATCACAAAGTCTTCAGGTATAGAAAAACAAAATAGGAATTTTAGGTTAATTTTTTTTTAGAGCTTTTTGTTGCTCTTCTGAACCCTATGGTGTTGACAGCAGAGTGACTTGATAACTACATTTACACATCAGATAAAAAGTATTTTTTATTTATTCCTAGTTTTCCAATGATGCAAGTGACTTATGTAAATAGATGGGGTGATGATGGATAGGTTTTATGTAACAATTCATTGTGTTGATTAACAGGTGCCTTGTTAGACCTCTGCCTTTTACATTTGTGCATAGGTGACACTCCCAGATTAATACCAACAAGCCTGTTGACTTTAGTATTTTGTGCATTTATAACAATTTAGAAAATAAAGGCCACATTTCAAAGCAACACTAAATATTTAGTTCTGAAGCACACTTGTGCAAAGAAGAACCTTGAACTTGGAAAGCACTTGGAATTATTTTTTCCCTTTAAAATATAGATACAAAATTGTGCCTAGGGGATATCTGCACAGCCAGTCTGTGTAGTTGCACATTTCTCAATCATATATGAAACTGCATATGCAAGCAGCACTTGTAAAGTTGTCACCTTGCATAAATCTTGACTTACTGGTATTTATAGACTTTGCTAGAAAAGTAAAAGGCAGAGTAATTCCAGTCCTAACTTATGGCATGCTTCTAGTCCACACACAACTAATTCTGGCCAGTAGGGTAAAGTGTTGGTTTATTTACCTATTTTTGCAACCTCCACTGCCCCATTAGGTACATTTTTGGAGCAGCTGCTTCAATATGCTATTTGATGGGTCACAATTCCAGATACAAGCATGTTGAAGAACATCTGTGCCCAGTGGTTCCTGGAGACAAAAGATGATTTTCTTGGCATTGGTGAGACTGATGACTACGTAGGGGCATTGAGTCTAGTCTGCTTTTTGCTAGTTGCAAATTCGAGTTTAAAATTCACGTCTAAGTTAAAAATAACTATACTGAAGATGAAAGTATGAAGTAGTTCAGTTTTAGGACAGAGTCACTTTTCTGTGGTTCACACATTATTTAAGTCTTTTAATTTGGCTAAGCAAGACTTGTTTTTGGGTGGTTTAATCTGAAAATCATGCACTTTTCATGCAAACTTTTTTTTTTTTTTTAAAGGAACTTGATTAGTTAACACTTCAAGACACATCTTTTCAACTTCAGGGAAAAGGTTTTATTATAAATTAAGCCACGCACTAAACTTCTCATGTCCTATATAGACTTGATGATCCCTAGGCAGGGGTGAATTGCATGGAGAGGGAGGAACCCCCCCCCCCCCTTTGGTTGTTTAGCGCATGCACAGTGAACTCTCCAGCTCATCAGCACAGCTTCTGACAGACTTCCCCTTCAGCACAACTTCAGAAACTTTAAGTACTACCACTACTTGCCCCACCTTTTCCACTGCTGCAGAATTCAGTGGTGGGCAGGGGATGTGCATAGCATTCACTCTCTGGGCCCTGCAGCCAGTTCAAAGTGTCAGGTCCAGTAGGAGCTCTACCAGCAAGCTGATGAGCACAGGAAGTTTGCTGTGCATATGCCACATAGCCAAAAGGGTATGTGGCTGCTTCTCCCCATCTCCTTCTCCCTCAAGCTCTCCTTTCTTGGATTGGCCCAGTGTTTCTAAATACCTCAAAAATGCTTTTCTTAACATTTCTTGTAACAGTTTTGTAAACTCAGAAAAATTCTTGGGCCTCAGGGATTTTAGTTTTTGGGAGATAGTGAAAGTAAAATACTGACATTTGGACAGACTCTGTTGGAACTCACTAGTCTTAACTGTGTTCTTTAAAGGTATCTTTTGATTCCACAAAACACTTGAGTGATGCATCAATTAAGAAACGTCAGCTTGAGCGGCAAAAGCTTCAAGAGCTTGAAAAACAAAGAGAAGAACAAAAGCGTAAAGAAAAAGAAGCTGAGGAAAAGCAAAAGGAGGAAGAAAGGTAAATCTCCCTTAAATAACTTTTTAACATTTCACATGACAACAAAATACAGCATAATTACATTTCCTTCACCATGTTCTTCTCATTTCCCTTAAGTGAAAATGTATCTTGCCTAAATCAGTTTGTTTCAAAATGATTGCCTTGGGACCTGACATATCTTCAGCCCATAAAAAATAGGAACATTTAATTGAGTTACATTCTCACTTTTTTTCTTAATGTACTCCTTTTTGTCCTGTTTGATTGTCCATTGTATCTGTAACCCAAGCTTTAACAATATACTTTCAGGTACACCCCAAAACCTTGTAGTCATTCTGTCCTCCTTTAGTGGGAGGTTTAAAAATGTCTCTCTGTCTCTTTTAGTTTTAAATCTTTAGGATGGGATTTTAGCCATTGGGAATTAGGATACTAGAAAGGTTAAGCCCCTCTGAAAAACAGCTGAGGATTCATTGGGAAGCAACTGCTGTTGATGCTCGTATTAAAACTGAGTTAAATTCACCATTTTATAATCAGGTGTTTTAACTAGTTTAGCAAAGATATTAGGTATTAAGTGACAGACTAATTTAGCTTCACATATTTACTTTTCAAAATCACAATTCTCTTTCTGCTGGCTTCTGGTAGAAACAGCAGCATTCTCCAAGCAATACTGTACTCCTTTTAACTTATTTTTTTACTTTTAAACACGTAGTTCAGTTATACTGCTGGCACAAAAAGAAAATCATATTCAAATGCCTTAAAATTATGCCAGCTAAGAAATACGTGTAACTAAAACTGCGTGTGTCTACATATGTGCTTTAATCTGTAGACTATTTTACTGTGCATCATAACATCACGTACAAAAGCATCATCAAAAAAAAGCTTGCAAAAGCATTACTGCGCATTAGTGCAGCCTAATGTGCATTAATTTAGTACCTGTAATGCACATTAGAAAAGGCGCATTAATGCACATGTAAACATGCCCACTTAGCCATGGAAACAAGCTGCCTTTTATTACTAAGCCAGTCCTTAGTGCCTCTGAGATTGTATATTGTAGTTTAAATGTCATCGCTTGGAAAACATTGTTTTCCTAGGCCTCAGTTGTTCTGTTGCCATCATTCATGCAAAACAGCTGTACAGAATGACAATAACATGGTTATTTTGAGGAGTGTGTAGTTAGAAAAAGATTTAGTCAAATTTTATATTTTTTGTAGAGATGTGCTTGCTAGAGCTGGCTAATTTAAATACTGAGACTAGTGGTTTTCATTTTACATTATAAGTAGGGATCTACTGAAAGCACGATTTCTCAATTTACACAGAAAATGCAAAATCAGGCATTTTCTGCAAAAAATTAAAAAAATACAAAAAAATGGTGAGCTTCACAAAAAATCACAGGCTCAATGAAACAAAAGTCCCTGCTTCTGGCCACGGAGCCCAGGATGCTTGCAGCAGGCAGAGCCTGCAAGCAGCTGTTTGCCACGCTGCCTGTCGTGAGCAGCCCAGTCTCCGCGGCAAGCAGCAGGGGCTTGCCTGGGCCTGGGCCAGCTGTGGCAGGCAGCTGGGAGGCTGTAGGTGGCTGCATCAGGCTCCACTGAGCCCTGACCCAGCTTCTTGCCAGCAGTGGATGCATGCGTGCCTCAGGGCTGACAGTGGGGAAGGAGCTGATTGGTGGAGGGGCCCTGTCTGCCCTGCTGCTTGCCCCTTGGCAGAGGGGTGAAAACCGCAGTTTTAAATGTGCCACTGTTTTTGCTTCCTGCTGCTGATTGGCAAAGGGGCCCTGGAAGCCACATTGCTTTCTGCTGTCTGGACTGGATGTAAAAACCACAGTAAATTTTAAACTGCAGTTTTTACCTCCTGACCATCAGGAGCGAGCGACAGGGCTGACCAGGCCCCTCCGCTAGTCAGTGGCATGGTGGGCTTGGGGGGAAACGTCAAGCTGCCGCACAGCATGCTTCCAGTATGAATTCCAGTCCTCCCTAATCGTAGGTACACCAGGCAAACGTGGAGCATTAACCTGGGGATAGCAAATGTTGTTACAGTTGTATATACTAGGGAAATGTACCCCACACACGTGTTCATCTCTTGTCATTTACATGATAATTTTTCAAGAGTTATTTTCAGCATTTTTTACTGAAGCAAAATTTGACTTCAGTGGAAATTTTTCTAGTTAGGAAAATGGGTCATCTTGATCTGTTGACTGTTGTGCTTATGTTAAAGTGGATTTCTGCAGCTGTGGGGTCAAGCTTTTAGGTGTCTGTTTCCAAAGACTATTCCATTTACTTCATGCAGCTGTTCTTGAAAATGTTGGCTTTGTCATTATCTACAATTTTTTTTTTTTCTCTGAAGGATGCATTATCTAGTCAGCTGATGATATTGTTGTTTATTTGGTTTCATCAGTAAAATATTTTATTTTGCTTTCATTGATTCTGTGTTTGATATTTAGGTTTTACTTATTCCCCATCTCTAGCAGTGTGACATCAGCTTAGTTCTGATGGTTTTGAGGGAGCGGGGAAACATTTACAAATGTTCACTGAAGGTATTACTGACACTTTCTACTTCTGCCTGGTTGTGTTTGTAATCAACAACAATTTTAAAAATATTGTTAACCATAAATTAGAAGATGTCTTTTCATATTTTATACACGTATGTGTGTGCATACATATGCACAAATGCACATGCATTTTAAAATGTATGTCACCAAAAACCTAAAATTGTGCCTATGACTAACTGAAGAAAAAAATCTCATTTTAGGAAACAAAAGGAACTTGAAGAATATGAGAGAGAGAGAAAACGTGAAGAAAAGTTACGCAAAAGAGAACAGAAACAAAAGGACCGTGAAGTGCGCAGAAACAAAAAGCAACTTGAAAAAATGCAAGCAGAAGAGCAGAAAAAACTTCAAGAAAAAATAAAACTGGAAGAGAGGAAGCTTCTGCTAGCTCAGAGGAATCTTCAGTCCATTAGGCTAATTGCAGAGCTACTGAGCAGAGCAAAGGTAAACTTTTTTGACATCTGTGTTCATAAACCAAACTGCTGAATTCTTGCATGCTCCAGCAGTCAGTCCTTGTTACATCATTGACTGAGTTCAAGCAGCTATCTTGAATCCATAGGATGGTTATAGTATGTATCTTTTTCCTAGAAGAACAGAACAAAAGAAGAACCTGAAAATATAGTCTTGAAGAACATCTTGCAACCATTTCACTTGATGCATGCCTTATTCCTGAAACCACAGGATAAAGATGTGCTGAACATTTTAAAAGGAACTAAACGGGTATAAGACATAGGGGTCAAGTTCTCATTTTTGGCTTTATCATTGATTTATGGCATTGAACAGTTTGCTTAACTGTTCTCTTATATCTTTGTTAAACAAGCATAAGTTATTAACAGTTAATGAAAAATGCATTGAGAATACAGGTAATACTTTCTTTTAGAAAAATATGCTTTTCTATTGTCCAAGTGGTGTTAAGATTTGATTGTTAAGTCATGTCCAAATCCATTGTCAATGTTCTGTTCCCATATATTCTGTGAAAAAGGATTCACAGGTATCACTTGGAAGAAGTTGTAAACATTTGGGGGTAGTAATAATGTGTGTAAGCTATTTTAAGTAAGTACAGGTGTGTTGCATCTTACACGCATTTAACTTGCGCGAATTCAACTATACGCAGGGTGGGAGGGGGAGTGGGGCTTAGGTTTGCACGTGGCGCTGCCGCTTACCTGGAGGCACATTATGGCGGTGTCAGCCACTGCTTGAGCTGTTCCCAGAGCTGTGTGGCCGGGCGGCAGCGGCAGCGTGGTGGTGGCCAGGCAGCATGCAGCCATCCCCACCACTGCCCTGCGGTGTGCCGCTGCCACTGGCCACACAGCACTAAGCACGGCGCCGCATGCAAGCTCAAGCCCCGCTCTCCCTCCCACCCCGTGTATAGTCGCTGATTTTCACCTTACGCGCTGACTTCAAAACCTAACCCCCGCATAAGATGCGATTCCACTGTAGTAATAAAGAAGTACAGGGCAATACAGAACATTATTTCTTGTTTCCATCATATCAGGGATTCAATGCAGACAAGTGCAAGGTGCTGCATCTAGGGGGAAGGAACCAGCAACACGCATATAGGCTAGGAAACACCCTTCTTGTCAACATGGTGGCAGAAAGGAATCTTGGAGTTATTGTTGAGTCCAGGATGAACATGAGCTGCCAATGCAAGGCTAACCGCACCTTGTCATGCATCTACAGATGAATCACAAACAGGTCCAGGGAGGTGATCCTTCCCCTCTATGCGGTGTTTAGTCAGGCCACAGTTGGAGTACTGTGTCCAGTTCTGGGCACTGCACTTCAAGAGGGAAGTGGCTAGCATTGAGAGGGTCCAGAGGCGGGCCATTCGCATGGTTAAGGGGCAGTGGGGTAGGCCCTACGAAGAGAGGCTAAAGGGCCTGAACCTATTTAGCCTCCACAAGAGAAGGCTGAGAGTGGATCTGGTGGTCATTTACAAACTCACTGGGGGGGACCAACGAGAATTGGGGGAGGCTCTGTTCCCCCAGGCACCACCCGGGGTTACTAGGAATAATGGCCAAAACTTGTTAGAGAGAAGGTTCGGGCTGGACATCAGGAGACATTACTTTATAGTTAGGGCTGCCAGGCTCTGGAATGGGCTCCCAAGTGAGGTGGTACTCTCTACTACCTTGGGGGTCTTCAAGAGGAGGCTGGACAGTTATTTGACAGGTGATATGACCCTGGCACCCATTCCTGCCTGGGGCAGGGGGTCGGACCTGATGATCTGTTTAGGTCCCTTCCGACCCTAAGCACTATGAACCTGCACTAGAACGTGTGAATTGTTAACATACTACCACAACATTCTATTTCATCCATCAGGTTGCAGTGTATGCATCATCTTGGTGTTTCATACTGTGCTCTTGAGTTCCACTGAGTTAGAGTTTAATCCTAGAAAAATACATCTGGCATGAACAGTAGTGTAACGGGCTACTTCTGTGCCGTGGGCGGTGATGCTGCAAGGTACAAGGGCAGTGGTCAGAAGTTTGCTTCTGTGAGGGGTCACCTCCTTATTTTGCCACCAACATGTAACCAGTAGCCATTTAAAAACAAATTTTCAGTGGCAAAAAAAGGCAAAAGGATTAACCCTCCTTGACACTCCTCCCCTTACCTTGCAACACTATGTTTCTGCTGGACACTGTCTCTATGCTATATAGTACCACCAGACCCATTGCTGCTGCTCTGCCCTCCCCGCTGCTGGTACTGGAACTGGCACTGGAACTGCTTCATGGAAAGGTGGTGGTGAGGGAAGAGATGGGAAGCTAACGTTCGATTTTGGTAACTTTTCCCACACCTCTTTGTGCCTGGAGCTCATGGTCCGCTCACCCATCCTTTGTTACTATGCTGCTGGGGATGACCCTTAAGAAGAAACCGAATCTGAACTTCCCCAGAAAACATTTGTCTAATATCCACTTAATGAAAGACATTCTTTGACCCCGCTCTTTAATCTAGAGATGAAAAGCATCAAATCTTATTACCTATTTGGCAACTAACTTGGTTGCTTTTTTTTTTTTTCCATTTCAGTTTTATTTCTGAAATGGTGCTTTTACTGCATAGTTCTATAAACCCATTTTTTTAAATAGCTTTCATCCTGGCAGCCAGACTTTGTCCAGAAAATGGTCTGTTTTACTAACTTGTTGTTGTCAAATAAGTGCAGTGCATCTTGGAGAGACAAGCACATTTATGAACTTTCCAATCAATTTTCTTCCTGCCCTTTGGTGTCTTTTAGGCTGTAAAGCTTCTGGAGCAAGAACATAATGAAGAAAAACTCCGTCTTCAGCAGTTGGAGGAGAGGCGAAGACTGCAAGAAGCTGAACTTAGACGTGTAGAGGAAGAAAAAGAAAGAGCACTAGGACTGCAGCGGAAAGAAAAGGAACTAAGGCAGAAGTTATTAAATAATCTACTGAGCAAAAAAATGGATGAGTTACAACAGAACAAGGAGGAAACAAAGGTATCTCAGTCTGGCTTTTTGAAAACTGCGGTGGGTGGGGTTCCCCAAACTCTGTCATCCAGCTGCATAACATCTACCTCGGGACAGTCTGTCGTATGTAAGCTAACTCAGGTCTGTCAGAGGGAAGTAGTATCCCATGAAAGTGTGAACTCTCAATCCAAGTATTTAAATGGAAATCTTCACAGCGAAGCTCATGTCAAGGAAAGCAAAAAACTTAATTTCATTAATATTGAAAGCTGTTCTGATAAGAAAAGTTCAGGTGTACTTTCTTGTATTCCTTCTAATAACCAGCAACACAAGAGTATGCCAAGCCAAGACCAAAATATTTGCAGGAAGGGCCTGCACTCTGAACAAGGAAAGTGTAACAGAGAGCCAAGTAGGGGGAATATCGACACAAATACAGATGATGGTAAGGACAAAAGAGAGAGGAGCAAAACCAGAAGAGACTTGAGTAATCAGGATGAAAAATCCAGTAAAGAAAGAAGACTCCATAAACACTCTAGTAAAAGTTACAGCCCTCACCGAAGAAGTATAAGCCCAGATCCTACCCGTTATAAGAGGGCCTTCAGTAGTGAGAGTAAACGTGTCGAAGAGAGAAGTCACAGTCGCAAAAGCCTCAGCAAGAAACGAAGACACCGAAAGAGATCACTGAGCAAACAAAGAAGTACTTGGAGCAGGTAGTAGAGGGTATAGCCTTTTCTAAAGGCTGTTACAGGACAGATTAGGACCAGAAGGTCCTATGTGTGACTACTGTGGAAGGAAAAGAATAAAAAACAACTTTCAGATACTGGTGAATATCTAACTTGAATTGTAGTTCATGGAACCAAGATACAGATAACATTTTGTTGGTGTTTCTTTGTGATCTGTTGTCTTTTTTTTTTTAGATTACCACAATAATGAAGGTATAACCACTTGTGCTTGAGTTTCAACGGTCTTAATAGTCAACTAGGTTTTCATTCACTTCCAGTTTTCTAAATCTTCTCATTAGATCACTTAGGTTTCAAAATCTGCATCACGTCTTCTGGTTTAAGAGAAATATGTAAGTGCCAGCTATCAGGAATTCCAGGTTTAGGAAGTTATTGTATTCAAAATATTTGATTAAACATTTTCTTGTGCGTTTAATGAAACCAGACGTAACAAAGCAAAACGTTTGCTAATTGAGCCAGGGGCAATATTTTTGTATATTTGCTAGACGTAACCCTAAAGTTTTACAAAATACCTTTTAAATTTGTGCTGTAATGCTTCCATTTTTCATTGAGATTTGTATACTTGCTGTAAAGCTGCAGGACCCAAATGACTGTGGCATGTAATGCCATTGATATATTTCAAAACTTCTTTCCATTTCAAGTAGGTTCACTATTATGCTTTTAGGACACCAGGAAATAGGAGTAATTGGAAAAATGGTCAGAAAGCTATTTTCTTCTTTAAAGTGTTTAACTTCTTAATTATTCAAAGTAGTTTCAAATCAATTAAAGACTTGTTTCAAGTATATAGGTGGTTAGATGTTGTTTTTTTCAAAAGGGGCCTTCTTGCTAAATTATTTTTACTTGCAATGTTCATATTCAAGGCTGCAATATACCTTATTAAAGAACTTTTATAATATTTTGCTTCTGCACATGCAGCTCAGGTATATTAAAAAAAAGTTGTAACTTTACAGTGAAAGAACAGGTTGGTTTGCATTTTTATGGTAAAATTGAAGAAGCTATTTCCAGTGAACCAGAATTGCTGTTTTCATATGTCAGTATATTAAAAATATACAAAAAATACTATATTAAACCTGTGTGGCTTGCTTTGTGAACATTACCTGATTATATACTTCAGTAATCAGTCTGATGCTTCTTTCTAGTAGATGTTTCTGTAACATTCAACTAAGTTATCTATTAAATCAGATCACTAACTGTAATATCTGCTCAGTTACCACCTAAAATATGCCTGCTTCCTGGAGTCAGTTCAGAAATGAGGGTGAACTGCATGCCATGGCATGTGCTAGTGTCTGATCACACAAAAAATTAATGCTCCTCAAATAAGGGATCAGATGAAGATGCTCTGCTCTATAGTGTCTTGGGGAACTTGTGTTCCCTAGGATTTATTTTTCATACGTTCAGGGATGGGCTGATGCAGTCCAGTCCTGCCCCTGGGACTGTGAGCAGGTAGGGAGGGGGGAGATGGGAGGGGGAAGCCAGCAGCTGCAAGCTGTCAATTGGGCTTTGCCCGGTCTGAGCTGGAGGGGGTTAGGGGTGGATTGGAGCCCTAAGCTGTCCCAGCTGGGTTACCGAGGAGAGCTGGGTTGGGTCTCGCAAGGCGGGGGAAAAAAAGTTAACTAAGAGTTTAATTTGTTTGAAATGTAAAACTGACTTTTAAAAAAAGTGATAAAAGCGGGTACAATTTTTTTTCCTGTTGAACTGCCAGGAGGCTTTGTGAATGACTTCATATCAGAAAGGTGCATGTTGAATCTGCTTATCCTTGGCCATCTGTAGCAGCTTTAAAAAGAATATCTCTTCTCATTTGGAGTTTAATCTGTCTCATCAACAAGGTCTTAGCTAATTAACAGGCATTGCTGACACTCCAGAATACTGACATTTTTATTTAAAATGTCAAAAAAGCTGGTGGGATCTAGAGTCCGACAACTCTTTGAGAAATAGAAGGCACTTGTCCATCTAGCAAGAAAGCTGGGTGGATGGTGAAAGGTCAGTAGGCTATACAGCGGGTTATAAAGACAGACATAGCAGTAGCTAACTGGAGGAATGTTCTTGCTTATCATTTCTAGACATTTTAACCCAGTGATTCAGTCGGTACCATGGCACTCTGGGGTGCCTTGAAATCCTTTAAAGTACTACAGGATGCATCACAATGTTAGCACTGTTAGGTGTGCAAATACAATTCACAAGATAAACCCAGACATTTAAAATAGGAATGAATAGTTTTTAAAACCCACCGACTTGCGGTCTGAGCTTTTTGCGAGAGCTTTGTTTTATTACTTTTCTGTAGTCAGAACAGAGAGCTGGCATTTTCTGAGAGGTACCTGGAGTCTACCAAGTTGTGCCTTTTGACTAAAAATGTTGAGAACTACTGTTCTAACCTTTAAGGGGAAAAGTTCTCTAACAACTTGTCTGAATACTAGCTTTGGATGCTAATGAGACTCAGATGAAACACCCAAAATCTTAACACACTTAAAAAAATTGTGCTGTCTAGTCCAGACAAGGTTCATAGAATATTAAGACTACTAGGTTGAATTCAGTATTTTAAAGTGTACTGACTGTTACAAGTTGATCAAGCATCCAAAGAGATGGCAGGATAAATCTGCATATATGGCCTCAAGTCCTGGTAAGCCCCAAAATTACAACCATGTCCTGAAAAAAAATGTATTGCATTCAAAAGCTTACGTAGTTTATTCCACCCATTCAGTTGATCCAATAAAAGATATCACCCAGCAAAATCATTGTCTTACATATTTCCTGGACTATCATATCAATATCACTACAACTATCCATTCTTGTAGCAATTTTCTTAGTTACAAATATTACACCAGCACTATGGTATAATTAATACATTGTGCTATTAGCTTGTAGCAAATTTTAATAAAAGAAAAGTTTAAGATTTAAAGTTCAAGGATTATACTATATATTGTTTGACTAGCTTTGCCTACAGCATGTTTTTAGCACTATGCTAAGATAGCAGCTTTAATTTTGTCTTCCTGACTTTCTTCATATCTTAACAGGAGTTTAGAGTTTAAGCCTCAGTAACAGTGTACATGGAAACAGCAATGCTCCATATGTTGCTTTTCAAAACACCATCAGGGCTGGTGCAGGTATCTGCAATCCTTAACCAGTTTCCCTACTTGTAGTAATCTTATTTGGTGATTATATCTCGCATCCTCAAAAACAGGGTTAGCCATAGTAGAAAAGCTCTTTTAATGGGGTTTAGTCAACTTTATGGTCTTTTTATCACCAAATCCTCTTCTGCCTTAACTTAGGTAAAATGACCATTAGTGTTGTAGAGAAGCACTACTTTAGTTATTCGTTGTACACCTAACCCTGTGGTTATTTGACCAAGCCTACAATAAAAATAAAGTGAAATATTTTAGGAACAAAAGACTGGAAGATAATCTGCCTCAGGCAAGTGAGTCAGTCCGTTGTTTGCAAGCTATCCCAAGAATTGCCAAAATCACCACTTCTTACTATCACACGCAGCAGTAAGACACAGTTTGGAAAACACTAAGAACACTAACATACCACAAATAAAAGATCACTTCCAGTGCCTGGACTCTGCAAGGGCTCAGAAAACTGTACCAAAAGGATTAACTTCACACTACAAAGAAAGGTACAAATCAGTCTGGTTTTTACTAGTTTGACTCAGAAGAAAGATTTCTTTCTGACCTCAAAACTGGTGAGAGGTATGGCCCTGAGTAGAAAACCATGACCTTACACCAAGCCTTTTCATAGGTGCATACCTGTAACAAAAATGTAACTCATGCTATCATAATGTCTTGTTCCTGTAACAGGGCCACCTGGAGAAAAGCAGCTTACGAACTGAAGGACAGGAGTTATCAGCTAATAGACTTATGTGTAGTTCAAGTACTAGAATACTGCACAGTTTGGAAAGTGCCTTGGTCCTGTTTTTTAAAGAAAGCAGTAACTAGTCCATATTCTGGAAAAAAAAAAATCAGTGAAGCTTTATGCTTGTTTAGAGTCCAACAGACATCAACATGATTCCTCACAAGAACTAATCTCTTCAATGAATCCCTTTGCAGGATTGAACTTTAGTAAAGAAATAGTCTCTTCTCAATTTCCAAAATTTCCAAATAATGGTTTCTGTCCAGGAGTAATGTGGGGTTTTTTGGGGGGTCAAGGAAGCTGTATTTGCATGGGTTTCAAATTGGGAGAATGGGTAAGGTGGTGTAAAATATTGTTTCCTCTTTTAAAAAAAAATCATGCAATGTCTTTTGAACAGCTCTAATGCCAATGGAATGAATAAAACTTGACAAGGGACTGGTGACTAGAAATGATAAAGTTTAAGTGACGTTTGGGAAGGAAATGGCTTATTGAAGAAGCTACTGTGTACTTCAGTAAAAATTAATTCTGATTTGACCACTTACAACGCTTTACAAAATCACACTTGGTGCATGTGCAGAAATATTTTAATCTGTACTCTATCAACATCATAAAGGCAGATAAAATTCACTTTGAGTATGATTAACGTCATTACATACTTTGATATGTAGCTAACATTTGTCCTCCAAAGAAACCTTTTTACACTCAATGTAAGGTGAATAGCGAAAGCGGTAAAGGCTCTCAAGTATCTTGTACATCTTTACATGAATGTCACAGAGTATGTAATATGGCATACAAATGTATCTTAAGATGGTAAGAAAATATGATATTTGCTATTTGGTTGGTGATCGTGTTGTTACCGATTGTATTGCATTACTGAGTTAAAGAGGAAAACTTTTGAGGGCATCTGTCATTTTGGGGCTTACCATGAGATATGAATATTTAAACATATTCTTTTGAAGTAGGAGACCACAATATATAACCATCATCCCATCACTGCCCTGCCAGTGTCCTAGCTTTCACCCTTTTTCAGGAGGTCCATCTGTTCTTAGACTTCAACTAAAGAGGCAGCACATGCAAAGGCAGATTTGGGGAAGACAGAAAACAGTAAGCATTCATCTAAAACATAGTTGCATCCTATGTAACTTGCTGTAGCCTGTTCCAAATTAGGCCTAAACCTAGTGATATTGCTGGATTTCACCAAGAGGAGATGAAAGTTGAATTAATTATAACACATAATTATCTAGGCTCGTGCACAAACAATTGTTAAATTGTGAAATAACTTACTGTTTATCTTCTGTTTTACATAGTTCATTCTCATAATGTCATGATGGAGAAGCAGTAGTTTAAGCCAGAATAAGGTAGGACTTTTACTAGGTAAAAGATAATGAATTGTTTCAATTGAGATTTAAGAAATGTTGTAACAAATTTAAGCTGTCTAAAGCATTCTGTAAAAGACTTCAGATGAAGATTTCTTTGCCTAGACTTCTTAATCATGACAATGTGTTAGAGTTCAAACCATGCTGCTTACTTTAAACGTTTTAAATAAAAACATGATAAAAATATCAAACTAATTTTTACTAAAGATAAAATGTAATAATATACTTTTATGATAAAGAAGTTCATACATTCAAATCATTGCTATAAAACCAATGTGAAATGAAAATCTTAGGCAATACCACCCCAAATAACCATAGGCTGCTTAACTATTGAGTAACAGTGAGAGCATCTACATGTGCAGTTAATGCAAAGCAATAAACTGTGGTGCATATCACACCGGAGTTTATTGTTCTCGGGACCTGGATCTCCACGTGTGCCCCAAACTGCAGCACGTTAGCTGGGTTGGAGCAGGTCTGGTTGGCAGTAGGCTGAAGGGTCAGCCCAGGGCTGCTCCACCACTGCTCAGTGTGCTGCAGAGGGGCTGGCTGCATCGCAAGGGTTGCTCCAGTGCAGGGCTAGCTGGCAGGCAGCCCCACACTGAAGCACCTTCATGTCCCAGCCAGCCCCGTCAGCACTTACATGTGAGTTGCTGCACAGTAAAGAACTCTGTAACAGGATAGAACTTGTATATATGAGTACTAACCTGCAGCAGAGTTAATTAGTTTCCTGCAGCCTAATCAGGCTGCACGTGTAGACATTGAGACTTTACTGCAGAGCTAACTAGGCATCTCTTCAGTAAGTGTTTCATGTAGATGTTCCCAGTTTGTATATTATGAGAATTTTAACCTTCTTACTAACTTTTATCATTTAAGTTCAATAATAATCAAATGCTAATACACAGCTGGTTTATATGGCTTCATTTGTTGTTATATGCTATTGGTGATGGAGTGAGTCAAGTGACTTTATGTTAATACCAAAAGGTCTATCCAGTGATGACAGAACCATTCAGGAGGAAAAGACAACATAAAGGATCTATTCTCACTTAAAAAAATATGTTTCTATAGATAAGTGCTGATGGAAAGGGAACAAAGTTGTAAAAAACTGGCCATAGGCCAGAACAGATGCACAGCAGACTGACCCATGGAAAGGAATTTGCAGATGGAAGCTGTTGCTCAGAACTAAACCAGCAGGCATCTCCTAGCATGGTTTTGCACAAACTGGTATGCTATAAAAAATTGATACCAAGGTACTGGAAATTTCCAAAGGCAAAGTTGCAAGAAGCTGTAAAGAAAATGCCTTATTTTCACTCAGTTGGGAAAATAACTGATAATTCTGGCTGGACATTTCAAAGTCTTCACCAGAAGAGTCATGGGATGATGCTTTGATTAACCTAGATCAGCTTTGTGAAGGAGAGAAATGAAGGTATGCCAACCAGGGGAAACTATAAAATACCTTGGTATTGTTCAATACTGGTTCAAAGGCCAAATCAAGAGAGATCATGAGTAGCTCTGCTTTTCCTTGGCTAGTAAGGTTCAGTCCATACCAAGTTCCCAGCACTCTCAGGGTGGCAAACGCTCAAGCACTCACCCTATGAAGCCCAGCAATGTGGCACTGTACCTGTGGGATGTCCATGGAGTGGCTTCACTTTCAGGTTTGTGTATGTGAGTGGGTGTGGGTGAGTAGGGCATATTCAAGTTTGTCCCTTCCCAGGGACACTAAGGACATGGTGTCATTATACTCTAGGTGTACCTTCTGTTTCAAAGGAACTGAAGTCATACACTGACAGCTATCCTGTTAACACTTGTCTTTTAAGGCTTTGTCTCGGGAGACCACTAGAAAGAGGATAAGAACACAGCTGTCAGAGCAACTTGGATGAATTACCCCATGAATTTTCCATGTCTCAAGAAACCAGTCACTGCAACTACAAAGCTGAACTGATGAAACCATCTTTATGTCTGTTCCATTTATACATGTATTGTTTACCCAAATGATGACTTGCTTATATTTAAATTAAATGCTTCCACCCCTTTGAGGCCATGCAAGAAATAGACTGGCATATTTAATGTGGAATAAGGTAATTTTGAACGGGTTGGCATTCTTCAATGTTAAGTTATTTATATGAAGTTCTAAATTTTGCATTTGAATGACTTGGTTGAATTGAGGTGGCTAATCTGTAGGCTGCCATGTTACAACCTGATTTAAGCTTGAGCTATGTATGCACTATAGACAGTAATTGACAAGAAAATAAAAAAAGATATTGATGTAACCAAATGTATGAAATATTATTTTGCTGTAATATATTTTTGTTAAGATGCTCAAATAATTGTAAAAAACCCAAAACAGCCGTGTCAAAAAGAAAGTTAAACTAAGGTAAAGAAGGGAAACAGGCCAGTGTTAAACAACATTCCACAATGGGGAAGAAAAAGAGATGATAAACCCTCCCGCAGGTGAAACAGCCTTTCACAATCAGAAGGGAAGTCTGCAAGACACCTGGTTCAATCCAGTTCCCAAAGTTTCAGTGAAACAAAGACATCTTAATAAAACCAATCAGATACTATTTATTAGAATATTACAGCCAGGCATCTAGAAATATTGGGCATGGACTGGAGGAAAATTGGACTTCTCCCAAGCTCAGTGAATAAAATAAACCCACTCAGCAAAAGTTCCCAAGGGAACAGAGAAGCCTGGCCAGTGGACTTGTTTCTCCTTGAATCTGAGGCTAGGTATAAGCATTGTCTTTATTGATACAAATAAGTCTTTGCTATTATGTAACATAATAAAGCTTTTGAGTTATGACTGGAATGGCCTCTTTGGTCTTCAGTCTCACTGTCACTCACAGTTAAAATTTAGAGTAAGAAGTCCAGTGATTGGGTTGGAAATAAATAAAGATCAGTAGTTTAAAGGTTCATCTTGGTGCCAGAATCACTAATGCAGACTAGTTTAGAATAAGGACAAACTTGCGTTTTTAACAAGTCTGCAGTAAGAACATGAATTGAACTATTCTCCTAACACTTGGTAAACCATAACATTGTATGCAGAATTCAAGTTCTGATATTATAAATGCTTTTCTCCAATTATTTCTATTTCACTTTCTGTAATTTTTCATTTTCAAGTGCTATTTCAAGTATAATTGCCAGCGCTTCTCTACTCTGCTCCTTTAAAACAGAGACTCAAAGAACAATGATAAACCTAAGAGAAGTAACTGTATGAAGAAAATTCTTTGAGTAATGTGTTTTGTAACATAGCTTTGCTTTCTCACAACTAATAAGATTAAGTCAACTACCCAGAGTGATCTGTGCCTAGTGGGAAAGAGGCTTATTTAAATAAAGAAGCCTAGAGGATCTCTCACAGAGTATTGAAGGAAAATGGACTCTGCAGAAGACCTTAATTATCCTCAGATCTTATTTCAATACAACCATGGATTTTTTTTCTCAAAGGTAAGAATTACAAAAAACACTTGGATAAGATGCTAAAACAAGGATGGTAGACGGTTTCAAATATCCTTTACAGGCTTAATTAAAACCATGAGAAAGAAGTAGACTGAATAAAAGTGATCCCAGTTTTAAATAGGTATAAAGGAAGTTTTTAGAAAAATTTCAGAGAGATGTCACAGACCATTATGAACAATTGTTTGTAATCCCCTGATTTTAGGAGGTTTGGGCAAATTGAGTATTTACTTGAGCTGTCTGAATATAAAGCCCTACAAATAAGGTTTTGTTACATAAAATTGCTCACAACAGAATTTCTCTGAGAATTTGTTTTAGACGTTTGCTTTGGATGCAAATCTCTGGGTTAGATTTTGCAATACCCAGCATCAAGCAATGAGGTTTTAGAAAAGCATTCTTGTCTCTAGTGACTTTTATTTATCTATAGTTGCTAAGTAGCAGACAATACATAATGGCTTAATTATATACTTTGGCAAATTACATTAATTGATAGGTGGGGGGGAACTCATCTAGTTTATTACTTTTCTTTCCAGAACCATTATGGGAAGAAAGCAAAGGTAGAAACTTAGTGATTGCATCTATATTTTTTGTAAGAATTCTTCAGGGTATTATTTCAATAAGTCGGTAATATATCCTGCTTTGTCAAAGGACAGTGGCAAAATAAAGAACAGGTGTCATAGGAAGAAATGCTCAAAGACTTTCCTCTCAACTGTCATTGAAAGGGAAAAAATATGAGCTAGCTCCAGCAGAGTTTTGTAAGCACTCAGGGAAGTGGTGTGTGGCCAACACCATTCAAATTTGTGATCAAAACACAATTTAAAAGCATCTCAAAATAGTTTAGTTTCAGGCTGCATAGAATTATCTCTGAAAGGGACTGGGAGAATTCTGGGGGTATTCATAACGTACTATGACAATAATGGGGTTAGTATTGCCACCCTTTTTACAGCACTTTAAAAGGATTTGTCTTAAATAGTGTATAAAATCTAAGAATTATGACTTTGTTAGCCATAAGTGATGTGGTTTAACTTGAGCTTAGGCAATGTAGGTATGTCAAAAGGTTCCAGGATTGTTCTGGCTTTCGTATACAAGGCTTTTTCCTCTTTTTTTCTAATATATCACCTCTTTGACCCTTTCATTATAGAACAGGGATTTGGGGTTTGCTCTAATCCTATTAAGTCAAGAAAATGTATACACAATACCTGGGCTTCACCTACAAGTATTTATTTGATAGCAGTCAACAAGGAACAGAAATGAAAAAAAGCAGTACAAATCAAGCACTGGTATCAGTGCTCAAAGCAACTGCAGGTCAATCACAGCATTTTCTTATCTAGAAAACATTTTAATGGGGTTTTATCATTGTTTTTGTAAATTACTCTTGCATATCAAACTGCTGATCAATAGGTGATAGGTAATCAATAGCTGCTTATCAGCAATATAGCTGCTGATAATACTTCCTCTTATTTCAGCCTCATGCTCCTTTATTTGCTTCCAGACTATGTTTACTGCCTGTGAATTGGGAGTATTTGATCTACTGCTAGAGTCAGAAGAGCCCCTATCTTCAGATGTCATTGCTGGGCGTTTGGGCACCAGTACCACTGGAATGGAAAGATTACTTGATACCTGTGTGGGGTTAAAGCTATTAAGAGTCGAACTGAACAGTGAAGGAGGTAACACAGTCTCAAAGGGATGTGACTAAAGATTGGTTTTAAAGATTTTATTTAACACCAGGTGGGAAGCTGAGTTGTAGGATTAAAAACAAAAATGTCAGAATGAGACATGAGCAGCAACATGACTTCTGCTGCAATAGAGTTCTAAAAACTGAACTGGGATGGTGGCCAGCTAAGAGAATAAAACAAGTACCTGTACATAGTACTTTCCCCCCTCTACTAAGCAACAGTTTAACTTATGAGACAAAATTCAGAGGTTATTTAAATTACCCTGTGGATAAGAAGGTGTAAAGGAATGAAAGAGTGCAAGATGTTCAATGAACACCATGGACACAGACAGATGTTAGGGCACCACTGGATAAGAAGGTATAAAGGAACGAGAGAGTGCAAGATGGTTAATGAACACCGTGGACACAGACAGATGTTAGGGCACCACTGGATAAGAAGGTATAAAAGAATGAGAGAGTGCAAGATGTTCAATGAACAACCATGGACAAGACAGATGTTAGGGAACCACTCTAACTCATGGCACTTTATGTAAAGTGCCATGAGTTAGAGTTATTCTCCCCATTCAACTGTTGGATCAAGGAGGTGGGAGAGGGAGAGGTGGGGTTGGAGCCAGCCTACAGCAGCCCAGACCAACAGGGAGGGGTGCTTCAGCAGCCTTCCAGAAGGCTGCCGAACCATCCCTCTCCCCAGCCCTGCCCTACCTGAGGCAACTCTGGGGCTGTCAGTGAGGGAGGAGGATGTGGGAGGGGACAGAGCTCCTGGTTGCTGAATGGCCAGAGCTGAGGGAGAAGGTCCCCCACCTTGCCTCTCGGCCTCCCCCAGCTACCATGGGGAGAGCTGGATCAGGTCCATGAGGTGAGGGGGCTCTGTTCCAACCTGCCCTCCCGAGTTCTGTTCATTCAGCATCCAGAAGCTTCGTGCTGGCTGTTCCCCTGCTCCCAGCTGCTGAATGGCTAGAGCAGAGAGAAAAGTGGGTGAGTCTGAGAGTAAGGAGATGGGGAAAGGGCTGCTAGGGGAAAAAGTTGGGAGGAAGCAGAGTACAAAGGCCTACCTGACACCCCAGGTTAATTTTCTCTGCTGTAGCAGTGGGAGGTAGACCAATTCAAAGCAAACCTTCAGTTACTAGATTCTATACCTGGAAAATTATAACAAATTTATAAATATTCTATATATAGAATCTAATCATTTGGGGGGTCATTTTATAATTAAGGTCATTTATTTAAGTAAATATGGTATTTGTACTGGTGCTTACTGCTACATGTCCACGTAATAGAGAGACCACTAGCACAATATAAATATCTAAGCATTTTAACTTGTATTATAACATCCTCTTTCAGGGCTTGTTACTCCAAGATGAAATAGGGTATGAATGTATTAATTCAATGCTTTCCAACACTTTCTCATATGGATGTTCTTGTTTCAGAATAAGTGTTTGTTATAGCTTCAAAGTGGATTAAGTTAAATTGAAAAATATCCCAGCTAGATGTGTATCTAACCTCCTCTTGAAGACCCCCAGGGTAGGGGAGAGCACCATTTCCCTTGGCAGCCTGTTCCAGACCTTGGCCACTCTAACTGTGAAGAAGTTCTTCCTAATGTCCAGGCTAAATCTGCTCTCTGCTAGCTTGTGGCCATTATTTCTTGTAACCCCCGGGGGCACCTTGGTGAATAAAGCCTCACCGATTCCCTTCTGTGCCCCTGTGATGGTCCCCTCTTAGCTGGGCTGGGCTCCCTGATGGCTGGCAGGTTGGGAGGAGTGCTTAAGTCCACCTTGTCTTCTGGCTTGTGGCAGTGCAGGCCTCTGCCTGCCTTTCCCAAGTGAAAATTGAACATGAGTTCAATTCATTATCAGTTCCAGCTATGCACTTTAGAGAAAACTGTGAGTATAGGATGTATTCCACCTTGGGCTTTTTGACTGTCTGTACTTAGCCAATGTGTCTTCTCTTGTTCTTTTAGTCTTTTACAGAAACACAGAACTTTCCAACCTCTACCTTGCAAAAGCAAGTCCCAAGTCTCTGTATCATAATATGATGTACTACTCCAAGACTGTCTACCTATGCTGGCACTACTTGACAGATGCTGTGAGGTAAGAAAAGGCATGCTTATGTCACGGTGCAAAATTATGCTCCAGTGTTGCAAGAAACCACTTTGCTGCATTGTGAAGCTGCTTCTGAAAAAGTGTCTGGGGAAACAAGAGGAAATGAAGATACTGAGTGCTAATTGTTTGGAAAGTACTTTGTAGCACTAAGTATTATTATTATTATTGCATGTGCTCATTTTTGCCAGCGGATGAATTCACTAAAGAGTCCAGAAACAGACTATTTTACTATGCTTATATTCTGTGCCCCAAGGAGGGGCAGTTAATCATAACAGCTTTTGCTGAAGGAGGCCCTCAGTGAAGTATGATAATGAATAGTGACAGTGATGGATGGCTGCACAATCCCTAATGGATTCTGTTGCAAAAGCAGAAGAAAATGAAGAGGGATGGCAGCCTCTATTGGATCCGCTTCACTGTGGGTGCTAATGCAGTTATGTCAATATACACCAGGTGGGGATTTCGCCCACAATCTTTGGTATAAAAAATATCAGTTGCATTTCTTCACTTTAAGTGATGCCCCAGTATGAATATGCAATAACAATAACTGAAACATATTTTTCCTTTCAGAATCTTTTGTAAGGCTCTCAGGTTCATAGATAAGTAGGGCTGGAAGGGACCTCTAGAGGTCATCTAGTCCAGCCCCCAGCCTGAAGCAGGATCAGCCCCATCCAAACCATCCCATACAAATCCATTATCTAAACTCTCCATAAGACTATCCTCAACCCTGACACCAAATTGATGTAACACCCTGACCTTCCACAGGTAAACCAGGGGAACCACAGCAGGCAATGTCCTGCTTCTATAAAATATTGTCAATATATACTCAAGAGGTACCAGCTACAAAGTAAGGCAAAAATCCGGACAGTGCATACCAATCTAACCATGGGGTAAAATTCTTTCCTGACTCCCAAGTATGGCTTTCAGGGTGGTTAGGGTGATTAGAAAAAGAACCATATATGCACTGACACAAGTACTTCCTTTGTACCATGATGAAATATGTATATTAATAAGCTTATGTTGCAACAGCTATAGACAGTTAAGACCAAAAAAAAAAATAATCAGTATAAATTTAAAATATAAAATATAAGATTTTACCTTTTTTTTTGTCCTAAAGAGAAGGGAAAAATCAGTATGAGAGAGCATTTGGCATTTCATCGAAAGATCTCTTTGGGGCTGTCTACAGGTAATAATTAATAGAATGCTGGGAGTTGTATGCTTATCTTTAATGTGGATGATGGTTTTCTATTAATTTCAATTATGAAATATGATAATGCTATGATAATTAGTTCCATTCATATGAAAAATCCTGTAGTACCCTCCATTTCAGTGGTGTCCTGTTTTGAAGCTCTCTGGGATTTGCAGCATGCTTCTCATCATCTTATGTAAGCACAACATTTGTATGTGCAATCCATTGTGAAAAAATTGTCATGGACACCATTCATTACAATGGAAAAGTCTGACTTAAAAACATCTGGGAGCCATTAGGTTTAGCAACAAAAAATTGGTAACTGATAAGTGCATTAACTATTTTACTTTACTTCCTCATTAAAAGGTTCTTACCTTACCTACGGTAATACATTTCTTGTTGTTTTTTTTAAGCTATAGAAATATAAATGACATTCTGCAGTGTCAAAAATACCTTACTGTGCAAACAGGATAATAGTTAGAGCTTAATATTCAAGTCAAGAGTTATAAAAGAATTATGTAATACTAGACCAGGGGCAGGCAATTATTTTGGCTGGAGGGCCACTTAATGAGTTTTGGTGAGCTGTCAAGGGCCACATGGGTAGCCCTGCGTTTACAGTTGCCCTGCTCCCAGTTGCCATATTGGGACCAAAAGTCCCGCCCCTAACCCCTGACCTTTGCCACTGGAAGTCCCTGCCCTTGGGCCCTCCCCAATACTCCTTTTGGGGGGAGTGGGGGTTGCATCTTAAAACCGGAAAAAAAAAAATAATACGCTAAAAGCCAAACACCTACTATAACGTCTTTTAATTTTATTACAAAAAATATTTTTGTCATGCTTCATTTTGCATAGTGTATATAGAGGTGATTGCATAATAACTCAAAAATAAAATCTTACTCTTGTATATTGTGTGTGTGGGGTAGGGGGGTGGTTGGGGGTGTTTACATAGTAGGGTGTGGGGATGTGTATAATGAGGTGTGGGTATATGGTGAGGTGTGGGGAGTGTGGGGGGGCTGTGAGGGGGCACGACTATGTGTGGGGGGGGCATAGGGTATATTCGGGTGTGTATGTGTCAGTGGAGATTGTGGGAGTAGGGTGGGAGATGTGAGAGGGATGGAGGTGTGGGATCCTCCCACACTCCCCCACATGGTGCACAGCCCCTGCTGCTGGCAGCAGCTGCAGGTGGAGGGGCTTATGGCACTTGGGCCTGGTGCAAGCACTGGCACCCAGCAGGGTGTGGTTCTGGTCAGTGCTGCAGATGGGGGGCGAGGAGCACAGTTTGCCCAGCCCACCTCTATTGTGGGGGCTCTGTGTGGCATGCCTATAGCTCCCGCACTCGCACTGGGAGAAGTCCCATGCTCCCATGCTAGACTCCAGGGGAAGCAGGGGGTGGAGTTCCCTCCACTTCCAGTGCATGGCAGGGGCGAGGAAGGCAGCTGGCTCCAGCACAGAACTTCCCCGGTGTGAGTGCAGGCGTGCTGCATGGAGCCCTTGCAATAGAGATGGCTGAGCAAGCTGCGCTCCTCACTCCTGCCCACAGCGCTGGCTGAAACTGTGACCTGCCAGATGCCAGCACCTGCGCTGGGCATGAGCACCCTGAGTACCCCACCTGCGGCTGCTGCCAACATTGGAGGCTACGCTCCATGTGGGGGAGAATGTGGGGGGTCCCCACACCCCACACTTTCCCCCATAACCACAGCCTGCCCAGCCGAGGTCTGCACTCCCACCACCTCCCTGGGCATGGGCTCTGCACTGCACTGCCCAGCTGCAGCTCTACCACCCCTGCCCTGCCCTGCCACTTCCCTGCCTGCTGCCCAGAGCAAGCTGGATGCTGGGGAAGCCAAGCAGGTTCTGATGGGGGTGGCTGGACCCCCGCCCAGAAGCTGCGTGCTGGCGGGGCTGGGCCCTTCCACCCATGAGGCTGGGAGGAAGGTGCAATAGGGTATGTTGGGGGGTGTGCATATGCGTGGGCACCTCGCTCCCACCTTTGTGGATGGAAGTGCTGGGCAGGGCACAATTTGTTGATGGGCACTGTGGGCTGGTTGAAAGTGCCTGGCGTGCCTGATTTGGCCTGTGGGCCATATTTTGCCCGCCCCATATTAAACTATAGACAGCATGTCGTACTGTATTTGTTCTACAAATAATATTCTGTCATATGACTAGATCAGAAGAGGAGATGATCAAATTCATGTATGGTTTGAATGAAATATGGAGTATATGTGGTAGAGATGTAATTGCTGCATTTGACCTTTCACCTTTCACCCACATTTATGATCTAGGAGGTAAGTGTCATTACAACATTGACATTTCTCCTTTTTAAGCTATGAAAAAATACTGCATGCATGAAGTATTGGAGTAGTGGAAAAGCAGGACAGATTTGATTGCCTGAGTAAATCAAAAGAGGAGACTTTTATATTTTGCTGGAGATTAGAAAAAAAGATATGGGAATGGTAAAACCACTTTAAAGCTAAATTATTTTTTTGTCTTAAGAGCATCATATATCTAAATAGCAGCTTATTTTCCTCCTTGTTGATTTGTCAGGTTTTCATATTTTTCTTCTTCCATTGCTTAATAAATACTGCCAGAGCAGCTTCCAGGCTATTCTTCTCCTTCACTTTAATCAGTGTTTTTAGGTTGATAAATTGCCTATTCACTTCTGACCCCCAACAGCGTTACTGTTATAGCTCTATTTTACTCCTGTCATTATTTGTAGCACCAGGCAGTCTTCAGCTCTACTTCCTTAAGTGGGAAGCTTGGTTAGTTGGTTGCTTTGGATTTTTGTTGGTTGCTTTGGATTTTTTCAGGGTGGTTTTTTTTTGAGGGGAGTGGGTTATTTTTGCTTTTCCATTTTTCAAAAATGTAGAAAACAGAAACAAAATCCTGGACACACTCATCTCTCAAACTTTAGAGGCTTTCATTAGTCTCCAGACAGACAGTATTTTTCCTTGCAAGGATTTTCTGACTCATATGGATAACTTTTTATTGGAGCCTTGAGTAATATGAAACTAACCTCTGCCAATATACAGCAAGTTCAGCCCAGAAACATGACTGTCAGAATTCAGCAGATATTTTCAGTTGCTTCATCCTCCCTGTCTGGTTTATGAAGCTCCCTTAGATGATAAAGTTTTCTTGAGTGAATTTCTTTCATAACTTCCATGTTCTTGGTTCTAAATCAGTCATGGTGAGAAAACTCACAGACTTCAGGACAGAAGTACCTACTTGAATCATGTTCCATGAACATACTTTCTTCTTCCCTTGAAAATCCTTAAAAAATATTGAGCTTTTGCAAAAAATAATTTCATCACTATTAAGAATTAAAAGACAAAATCTTGTTTTGGAAACAGACAGTCATTCCTTCAGTGAGAATGCTTTAGTGTTTCTGAATCTTCCTGCTTTCCCTGGGAATCCTGGGTCAATGGTAGCCCTGGAAGATCCAAGCTCTCCACTGCACAGGGCTGTCAAGGAACCCGGGCAATCCCACAAATCTGTTGTACAGGCTACTGTAGAGGTAGGATGTTGATGAGCAAGCTGGCAGGAAACCAGGCATTTACATTTGCCAGATAGTGGTCAAAAGGTTTTTGTCAGAACAAAATAGGACATAAATATGCAAAAGTCAAGGATTTGTGTGGGTGGTATCTTTTAGTGGACCAACTGCATAGTTGGGATAAAGTTAGGTGAGCCTTTGAATACAAAGAAGTATTCTTCAGGTCGTTTGGTATTTGAAAGTTTGTCCAATATAATTCCTGGACTATCATGGCTACAACACCACTCAAACAGTAGCATCGCAGAACATTTCCTTTTTGATACTCAGTGGGAATGTCTACATGTGCATTAATGCACCATAATTACGGTGCATAAAGTTAGTACGTGTTATTACTAATATTATAATTACTATTATTAATTACTCATATTATTATTATTATTATTATAATAATTGGTACTAACTTCATGCGCCGCGATCAGCATTATTGTGCAGTAGTACTGGTGCACATCTTTTATGTGATCCTAATGCGCAATAGACTAATTCTCCTGTGCAGTAGCACATTAGCCTGGTTTTGCCACAATGAGCTAATGTGCAGTAGGATTAGTCAACTGCGCTTTGAGCATCTCATGTAGACGTACCCAGTAATTTTTCATAGAAAATAAATGTCAGAAAATTCAATCTAATTCTAATTTTAAGCAAGCATATTCTGAAACTCTATGTGGTCAGAACAGTGCAGTTTTCCAAAACTGTCGCATTGCAACTTTAATTACAAGTTTTTACTTCCTCCTGCCATTTCCCATCAGCCTAGAAGATTGCACAATTGTGCTGTTGCTTTGGGATTTCAGTTCTCTACTTCTCAAAAGATACTCAGTATTTTTATTAAAAGGGAATTCAAAAGTGTTGTTGGTTGCTGTATGTATCAAGCCTTTATTTAAAGGAAGCTGTAGAAGTTGTCAGACTTGCCATGAGTTCTAATTTGTCCCCATCCATCCTTCTTTCTCTTTTCATTGTCCATGTAGGAAAAATCTTTCCATGCTCTTTTTGGATCTGATTCAAAATCTATAGGAGTTAGTAGGAATCATTCCAATGATTACAGTGCTTTTTGCATCAAGCTGCTGTTAAATAATCACTGCACAGAGATTCATGCTTATGACTAATTACATAGTACTTAACTCCCATGCTTGTAGGATGACGGACAGAAAACACACAGCAGAGCAGCCAGTTTAGTGTTAAGTTTTTCAAGGGTCTGTTATTAAAGGGAGCAAAACATTAATATAAAACCTTGAGAAAACCATATCAAATGAAAGCCACTTAAGGTGAATGTCAATGCACAGTCCCTTTCTCTTTCTTTCCTTTCTGTGGTTTGTTCTACAGTCCAAACAAAATCTAATACTGAACAATATTGCCCCATGAATACTATTTTGAATAGTGAACAGTAGGTTAGGCAATGCACTGGCAGCCCTTGTATCTTTCATCTTTAGATAATCTGGTTATTTTGGCCATGGATGAATATGGCATTTCTCTTATATAACATTATTCTTTGTTAGAAATGCAATGGGAGGTATATAGAAGTTTTATTAAGACAGCTTGGAGAAAAATGTTCAGAAGATTCTTGCTACAGCCAGCATGATAATTATGATACTCTATGCCTTGAGAAGAGAGAAGTGATCTTGGGTCTGTTCCTGGAACTGCGGTTGGACAGATCATTTCATCACTCTGTGCCTTAGTTTTTCCATCTGTAAAATGGGGATATCAATAATGACCTCATTATCTGTTTAGATATTTATGTATGAAAAGGGCTACATAAATTCTGCATATTATTATTAAGTTAAAAGATTTCCTAACTGCTGGAGAAAGAATTATTAGTCTTATTATAGCTAACAGTGACTTTTAACATGGTAGGCCACTTATTCCTTGGCTTTTAGTCATATCTACTTCTAGTGGAAAAAATTTCAAGATGTAGGGGGGTGGTAGGGATCATAATTAAAGACATCCTTGTTTTGTGGAGTTTTGGACAGATCCAGCTCTCTCTCTCTTTTTTTTTTAAAAGGTCAAGATTTTATGAAAAAGAATTAAATATTTATTGTTATGACTAGCTATCCAACAGTTTTCTACAGTTTTTGTTTAGAGAAGCCTATGTTTTCAGTAATAAAAAGCAAAACCCAAAGAAAATCAATAACTGTTTGTGGACTGCTTTTTAACACATGAAACAAAAAATGAGTATTTAATGAAAACTGGTTTTCAAAGAGAAAAATAAATCTCTTTGTATGCAAGTATTTAACCAGTTTTAGTTGCATCAAATTTCATTGCTTTTTAAATACAACTGTTTAGAGTCTAGTATCAAAAACACAGAACTGGATGTTGGGAGATCTGGATTGTATTTCAGAGTAGACAAGAGATTTCCTGAGAAACCTTGGGCAGGTCACTTATCTTTTTTGTACTTTATAAAATGATAGTGTTGGAAGGGATGTCAAGGGTAATCTTTTCCAGCCCCCTGCATAGCTGCAAGATTCACTATCCCTAAATCATCTCAGTTTCCTGTTTTGTAAGATATGGATAATAAAACCTAACTTACAAGGTGCTCTGAGGCTGAATTCACTGCAGTCCATATTTCTTAGGATGATGTGATATAAAATTCTGTCCATGTATGTATTTGAACTTTAAACACCTCTTATTTTACTTTCCCTATGAGGATGTGCAGGTGGCTTGGCCCAAGAATGTATTTCTTTGTACCCAAATTCTACAGTCACAATTTATGACCTACCTAAAGTGGCACAAGTGGCAAAGGAGCGTTTTATACCCCCAGAGGAACATCGGATAATGTTCCATGAAGGTAAAGTTGGTTCATTTTGTGTGTGTTCATGTGCAGAGAAAAAAATGGTTGAGGGATCATGCTTATGATGGATTTTAACTAGCAATATAAGCATTTTTGCTTGATTACTCACTGGGGTGACGCTGAGTTATACATTGGCAAGAATGCACACACAAATGCCCTATTAAGCAACAATGTAAAAAGAAAGGGAGAAAACATTTTTCTGATATCATATGGTAGACATGGTACAAATATGGCTTCCCCAAGTTGTGGTAGGTCTAGAGTGAAATACAGCTGAGAGTAGTAGTAGGACTGTAGAGGTGCAGAAGAATGCCCATGTTACATCTGAAGAGATATAGGCTAATATCACAGAACCTATTTTTCATTGTCACCCTGAGAGCACCTCATTTAGGTCTTGGTTTTTCAGATACCACTTTCCTTGGTGTGCAGTCTCCTAATTCTCTCCCTCCAGACTGGGGTCTTTGGCTGCAAACCCCTGAAATTCACTGGGATTGCCTTAGCAGTTCTGATGACATAGTTCAGTCTCTGCAGTCCTGACCTGTTAGAGACAGCAAAAAAGTTTTCCAGTGCATAAAGCAAAATACTACTCATTCAGAAGCAAAAGCATTTCAAAGAAAATAAGTATTAAAACAATTAACAGTTTACATGCTGCCTAGCTGCACAGGTTGTCACTCATCCTCCATCTGGAGACCCTGGCAGGTGTTTAGTCCTCAAAATCCCTTGCACAACCAGTTCCTGTTGGTCATGCTCAGGGGCCTGTCAGTTGTGTCCACTTCCATTAGGTCAAGACTTTCATTTTTATTTATAGATATAAATGAGAGTCTTGACCTAGTATAGATACAGATTTTTATAAAAATTAACAGGTAATAGGTTTCAAATTTTTCAAAATCCCAAAATATATGTGACAACTGTCATACTCAGAGGGTGGTGGTGGATGGGTCATATTCGACCTGGGGGGAAGTGGGCAGTGAAGTCCCCCAGGGCTCGGTTCTTGGGCTCGTGCTGTTCAATTTCTTTATCAGAGATTTGGACGATGGGGTGAAAAGAAACCTGTTCAAATTTGCTGATGATACCAACATTTGGGGTGAGGTGGGCATGCTAGTAGAGAGGGAGAGACTGCAGAAAGACCTGGATAGGTTGCAAGGGTGAACTAACAAAAACAGGATGCGTTTCAATACTGACAAGTGCAGGGTGCTGCACTTGGGAAGTAGTAACCAGCAGCACTTATAAGATGGGAAACTCCCTTCTTGAGAGCACGGAGGCAGAAAGGGATCTTGGAGTCATCATTGACTCCTAGATGAACATGAGCCGACTATGCGAGGTCATGGTCGGCAGGGCTAACCGGACCCTATTGTGCATCCACAGGTGCATCTCAAATAGGGCCAAGGAGGTGATCCTCCCCCTCTATGCGACACTGGTCAGGCCACAGCTGGACTACTGTGTCCAGTTCTGGGCACCCCACTTCAAGAGGGATGTGGACAACATTGAGAGGGTCCAGAGGAGGGCCACCCACATGATCCAGGGACAGCAGGGCAGACCCTACAATGAGAGGCTACGGGACCTGAACCTGTTCAGCCTTCACAAGAGAAGACTGAGGGGGGACCTGGTGACCATCTATAAACTCACTAGGGGGGACCAGAAGGGTTTGGGGGAGACCTTGTTTCTCCTAGCGCCAACAAGGAATAACGGCCACAAGTTGTTGGAGAGTAGGTTTAGATTAGACATCCGTAAGAACTACTTCACAGTTAGGGCGGGTAGGATCTGGAACCAACTTCCAAGGGAAGTGGTGCTGGCTCCTACCCTGGGGGTCTTTAAGAAGCGGCTCGATGCCTACCTGACTCGGGTCATTTGAGCCCAGTTTTCCTCCTGCCCAGGCAGGGGGTTGGATTTGAAGACCTACAAGGTCCCTTCTGACCCTACTTCTATGATTCTATGAACTGTAATGTTAACTGAGCATTGGGAAATGTTGTTCGAGGTAGCTCATTATTTCACTATTTAAATAGAAACAATTTTTTTTTTCTGCAATGAGAAAGCACATAACTGAGACAAGCGATCCAGTGGTAAAGAAGTTGATAAGGAGGGAAGACTTAGAAACAAAGAGAAATGTGACAGGTGATATACATCCACGGACTGTGATGGGAGAAGGTGAAGCATACAAGGAGATAGTGACAGAGACAGGTGTCCAGCAGCACAGAGACAGAAAGAAAAAGAGAGAATGCCAATATGGGTTTGGTACCCAAGTAGATATGCAAAGGGCATTACCAACTATCCAGTACTGGTAGATTTGCTCAGTATGCTGGCAGTAAATCATCAGGGGTAGGGACAGACATTACACATAAACTGGTTGATCAGAAACTGGTTTAAACCTGTAGCAGAACAGACGTTCAATGCACATAAACGAGTTTGAAAGTGGCTGAAACCAGCTTGAGATAAACCTGGTTGAATGTGGTATCAGACTTAACTGATTTTGGTCAAACTGGCTTATGCAATGTCTGTCCCAGATCCCTCCCCGGTTTAATTTAAACCCGAGTCCCCCAGCATCCCAAATGCTTTGCAGCCCTGGGCGGGGCTCTCTGCTCCAGAGAGCTAGGCTGGCCCCTCACCTCCCTCACTGGAGCTCCAGCAGAGATGGCAGGCACAGCAGCCTCTGCCTGGCTTCCTCCTGCCCCCGTCCCCCTTCACCACTCCCTGTTCAAGCAGGTATCCCACTCTCCCAGAGCATGGACCATAGCCAGCATGTGGTATGCTAGTTAATGTTGAGTGGTGTCTGTGTAAGGTAGACAGGACAATGTTGGCTTAGGGCTTTTTGGAGCTAACAGGTAGCTGGTAATGTTCCTCCATTTCATCCTTGGAAAAAGCTGTTTAAGAAGAGATTGAACCAATGAGAGAAGCTTTTGTTTCATTTTGATGGGCTAATAAATGCTATGAACTCCCTGTGCAACTCCCTGCTGTGTAAGTAAATGCCGTGTAACTCCCTGCCAGCTCCCTCACTGGTCAGCAGCAGTGATGGGGGAGGGGGAACCCCTCCCTAATCAGTGTTCTGCTGGGGCCTGGCCATACCCCTCCTCTGCTTAGCCCTGTGGAAGGGAAAGGAGGGCTGCTCTAGCCCCCCGGCTTCTAGCCTGAGCCACTGCAGGCGTATACCTGCATTTCTTCAGTCCAGAGGGGATGTCTGTATGGTTACAAACTGGTTCAGCCTAGCCAGGTTAGACTAACCTGCAAAGATTGAATCAATTCAGGCTCAGGCTTTTTGAATGTCTGTCCTTAGCCCTTTAGGTCATTAATGCCTCCTTAGATTGGAGGCTATTTTAAGTTGAACTAAGTTGATATTCAACTAAGTGAAAACTAACCTTTTCTTTATGAAGAGGCCTACACCTTTTTTAATTGCATTATGCACATTAATTTTAATTTCTTCAGAGAAATTTTAAAACACTAAAATATTTTCCAAAGTATTTGGTATCTCTTTTAAATGTTTTTATGCTCTAATATTGAACGCCATACTTTCAAAAAGGAACAAACATCCCCCACACTGCCAGACTGCATTTCCATCTTTGTTATTCAGTGTTAGTGACTACTTAACATTGATTAGGAACATGAAAAATCAGGAAAAAAACATGGCTTCCCACCAACTCCCTTGAACAGCTTTGGAATTGTACTGCTTGCAATGCATGAATTTAAAATGCTTGCCTAATTAGATATTTTTTTTCCTTTTTGGCGGGGGGGGTGTTTGTTTTGGGGTTTTTTTGGTACAGGAGATTTTTTTAAAGATCCAGTTCCAGAAGCTGACCTCTACATTTTGGCTAGAATCCTGCATGACTGGCCGGATGACAAATGCATGCATCTCCTTGAAAAAATACACAAAGTTTGCAAGCCTGGTATGTTTTCCTCTTTGAAAAACAGGGACTTAACACATCATTTGTTTGAGGTATTATTTTAAACAGCCATTTGGATGAAGGGCTTTTAGTGCATGATGAATTTGTGATGACCAAGTTAAACAACAAGAAAAATGATGATGATGATGATGATGATAGAAACAATAATCACAGGTGGTTCTAATTTTGGCCACTTCACTATCCACATATGGAGGTAGATTTTCACATGAACTTAAAGATGAAGATAGATGACATTTTGATACAGAATTAGTGGTTTGAATTCAACAGCTGTAATACTTTTTTGAATCAGGCCCTTTTCTCCCAATGCAAGTTAGATACTGGGTTATCATTAGGTACCTGTCTGAATATTTATGTGTTTGTAAATATCTTTGAAATTATGGCTTTTAGGACCTGGTCTTTAGAGGTGCTGAGTAATCACAACTCCAAAATAAATTACTTTTGAATCATAGTTATTTGATTCCCTTCACTGTCTGTTTTGTAGGGCACATAGTAATAGAATGATGCATGCAGCTCCTAATGATATCTTATTAGCTTTTATAGCAATGACACATGATTGTACTTTTAGTAAAGTCTGGTCTCTAAGTGATTAGTTACTGAACATGAAGTTGGAAAATAAGCTTTGGTTCTGTCCATTTATAAATCAACATATGTTTTAAATCTCTTTATTCAACCAGGGGGTGGAGTACTGGTGGTTGAAACACTTCTGAATGAAGACAAAAGTGGACCTTTGGATACCCAGGTCTATTCTTTGAACATGCTCGTACAGGCTGAAGGGAAAGAAAAAACATCAACCGAGTACAGCAACCTTCTCAGGGCAGCAGGCTTCAAAGAAGTTCAAGTCAAGAAAACTGGAAAGCTCTATGATGTAATTTTAGGAAGAAAATAATTGTCTGTTTCTTCTTCACTATTGTTAGGTACAGAAATGGCATAAAGAGATAAGCTTTTATTAGGCAGCAATAGTCATCCCAGCTCCAGTCAATTTCTTTGTGCAACAATACAATGTTAGCACAGTCACTAATTACATATGTTGAGCATATATGGATTGACAGTCTGGCAGCTTGAATACAACTTTCCTTTCACTGTGAACCCTAAATGGTTAGGAAAAGAGACATTAATACACATTTAACAAAAAGCATCACTTGAAAGCAATGTATTGTAGAACATTTATACTCCTTGCTTTTTATACAGTTTATACTGTGTCCAAGTTTATACTTTTTCTACTCTGCCCAAGTTTAGCTTGTTATTTTGAAGTTCAGTTTATATTGTTTCCGTCCTGAAAAAAATATAACTTACCTCTGTACTAAAATCAGATCCATTTAGATTCTGTGGGAGTCCCTAAAATGTAAAAAATGCAAATTCTCTCATGTCAAGATTTCATAGCGTTATAGAGAAGTAAGGCTGGAAGGGACCTCCAGAGGTCATCTAGTCCACCCCCCTGCCTTAGGCAGGATCATCCCTATCCAAACCATCCCATACAAATTATAATCTAAACTCTATGTAAAACTGCAATCAACCCTGACAAACACAGACTTATCACCCAATTTGTGACCTTCCAGTTTTTTTGAATATCCCTGAATACTGTTTTAAGCCATAGGAGCAAGGGGAGTAGCCAATGATGATGAAAGGTAGCAAATTAAAAACGAATAACATTATTTTTTTCACTATAGTACACATTTAATCTCTGGCACTCATTAGTACAGGGTACCATTGAATGCTCTGATAGTCCCCAGACAGATAGCATTTACAGGGTCCCATACGCCTTGCTGGTTTAAATAAAATCAGACTCTCCCAGCATCCCAGCATGCTCTCTGCACTGAGTGGGGCTCTCTGCTCTACAGCAGGGCTGGCCTCTCCCCTCTGCTCCCTGGCTGCAGCTCCAGCAGAGACTGCAGGCATCTGTCTGGCTTCTACTCCCCCCACACTCTCTGTTAAGCAGGCATTCCCCCTTCCCTCACAGACATCTCTCAGCATTAGCCAGCAGACCACATGCTGGCTACCTCCAAGCTGTGGCACATGGGACAAGGGTAGAATCAACAGATGGCAGGTAACATCCCTCTGTTTTCTTAATGGGGTGATAAACACTGAGTTAGAGGTGATATGATAAACATTCCCTGCTGGGCTGTTTAGGAAGGGGGGAACACTTCCTAATTGCAGCATCCTGCTGGGGCCTGGCCATGCCCCCCTCATCTTAGCTCTATGAAAGGGAAGGGAGGGCTGCTCTAGTGGCCCTGGCTTCTAGCTTGAGTCACTGCAGGCATGGGCCTGCATTTCTGGGATGTCTGTCTGGTTACAAAACTGATATAGCCTGGCCAGGTTAGACTAACATGCAAAGCTTGAATCAATTTAGGCTCAGGCTTTTTGAATGCCTGTCCCTAGCTTAGAAGTCATGTGCCTCAATGCCCTAACCATTTTTGTTGCTTTCCAATTTGTCTACATCCTTTCTGTAGGGGGGAGGGGGGGCAAAACTGAACACAGTACTCTAGATATGGCCTCACCACTGAATAGAGGGAAATGATCACTTCCCATGATTGGCTGGCAAAGCTCCTACTAATGCAGTCCAGTATGCTGTTGGCCTGCTTCACAACAAAGGCACATTGTTGGCTTCCCAGGAGAACCTACCCATCAGTTCCCTGAGTGAGTCAAAGTCTGCTTTCTGGAAGCCCAGGGTCTGTACTGTGTTGCTCTCCTTCCTTCTTATTTTCAAGATCCTGAACTCAACCATCTTGTGGCCGTTGCTGCCCAAGTTGCCATCCACCCTAAATTCCTCACCAATTCTTCCCTGTTTATGAGAAGCATGTCAAGAAGAGCATGGCCCTTAGTTGGCATCTCCAACACATACACCAGGAAGTTGTTCCCAACAGTCTCCAAAAAACTTCCTGAATTGCTTGCACACTGCAGTACTATTCTCCCAGCAGATGTCACAGTAATTGGAGTCCTCCATGGGAACCAGGGCCTGTGATCAGGAAACTTCTGCTAGCTATTTGAAAAAAGTATCATCTACCTCATCCTCTTGGTCTGGTGGTCAATAGCAGACTCACCATTTCATCACCCTTGGTGCTCTCCCTCTTTACCCTAACCCAGAGACTTTCAACAGGCCTATTGCCAGTTTCATATTGGAGCTCTGATCAATGATATGGCTCCTTTACATAAAGAGCAACTCCTCCTCCTCTTCTCCCCTGCTTGTCCTTCCTGATCAGTTTGTACCCATCCATGACAGTGCTCCAGTCAGGCGAGCTATCCCACCAAATCTCTGTTACTCCAATCACATCATAGTTCTGTGACTGTGTGAGGACTTCCATTCTTCCTGCTTGTTTCCCAGGCTTTGTGCATTGGTGTACAGATACCAGAGGTAAGTAACTGATTGACCCACTTTATCAGGAAACATTAGAAGGCCTCCCCCATTGCCCTGTCCTGCTTGCATTTCCTCCAGGTCACTCACTTCCTCATTTACCTGAGGGCTTTGGTCTCCATCCCCCAATGAAGCTAATTTAAAGCCCTTTCACTAGGTTAATGAGCCTGTCTGTGAAGATATCATGTGGTAAGTTTCCATTTTTACCATCATGGAGAGTGCCCCAAGTAGTATCGGTGTCCTGGATCTGACATGCAAAGATTAGGCAAGGCAGACCCACAGGACATTTCCATGATGGTATACTCATATCCATTGAAACTCATCCCCAAAAAGTACTATGCCATTGTCAGCATGTGCAATTCTCACAATGTTTGGTTTCTGCTGTTTGAAACTTCAGCTGTACTGTACAGTGACATGACTTTCCCCAAGGTTGAAGCTACATGCTGGTAACTTGGTTTGCAAGATGTTATACCTAGGCTTTCCTGTTGTGGGTTCAATAAAAACCGTGTAGGGTTTTCCCAGCTCCTTTCTTTGATTTCAGCAGGGCGACCAAAATCCTTTCCAAACTCCTGCAATGTGTGAGGTCTAACACTTCTGTGGGCAACACTTTAAGTAGGATGTCAGACTTTTGGTACCTTCCATGGTATGGATTAATATGGTTATTGGTATAAATAAACCCATTGATTCACTCTGCCATGAGAGTGTTTAATTCTCTCAGATCACCTCTTTTATTCCTTAGGACTGTTAATTTCTCCCTGTATTCTCCCTGTACCTCTTTCAGTTGGACTTTAACTGCATTACAGTCTGACTTATGTAAGGTTAACTTTCCCTGCAAGATAATTGTTGCCAGATCTAAACCCAGTAAAACACTGAATTCACAGCTGCTGAAATGAAATTGAGATCCTTCCTCTAGGATTTTGTCTGCAGTTTCTTATGGATCTGTATCTGTTAGGATTTCAGCTGCATGGAAGGGATCCCCTATGCCCAGCTACGTATGTAGCTACCTACTTTTCCTATGTTACCTCTATAAGCTTTTATATACTATGTTCCTGAAGACCTCCAGCTGTGTCAATAGCTCTGGAAGGAAAGGTTTGAAGCCCTGGACATATCTGATTTCAATGGGCTTAGTCCCTAAAGTCTCCTACCCCACTCCTAATTGGCTCATCAAAATGTTCTGTCCAAAGACATCTCATGCTCATGACTTAGTTTCTCTGAAGTACTAGGAATGAGTCAGGACACCACAGACTGACAATGTTTTGCTATTTTTCAGAGAGCCCACTGACTGCAAAAGCAAAATGTGCTCTGAATACAGCATTCCAAATATTTTAAAACTTTTGCACAAATGACTACAAGAGGCAGCCAAACACAGTTACAGCGAGGTCAGCAGCAGATCAACACGCTCATGTCAGCTGCCTTTGCTGAGATCTGTTGATTGCTGACCTCTGAGTTCAGGCTATTTCCTTTTTATGCACAGTTTTCAGACAAATCTCTCACCTCGTTTGTCTAAAACTAAACAAGGCCACTCTTGTGGTTGTTTCTGACTGACTGAATTCTCTTTATACAGGATGTTCACATCTTCCAGGTTTTCCACAGGCCTAAGTATTCCACTTCTTCTACCTAGCAACTCTATTTTTATTTAACAAGGCTACCTACTTAGCATTTTATCAGGTAAATTTTAATTTTTACAGCTGCTGCTGCTAGGTTTCCCCCTTGATTCCATTTTCCTTATATCAAATGTTTATTTATGGTAAATATGTTTTACCCATAATCCTAGAGGATTTAAGTCAGTATAGTGATGCTCCTTGTCGCAGGACACTGAGATGTGCCTGCTCCTTTAAGGGCAGTGGCAGCTTAGCTAGAGCGCTCCACAGCTGCAGGTTGCCATGGCAGCGGGCTAATGAAGGAATTAGCCGGCACCTGCACGAGCTAACCAGAAGGAGGCAGGGCCCTGGGTACATATAAGCCCCAGGGCTGAGGTGAGCAGGGGTTAGTTCCCAGGCCACTGCCAGGGGAAGGAGCTCCTGCAGAGAAGAACTGCTCAAAGATGCTGCGGCTGCCTGATATACTGCTTACAGGACTAATGGGGCTCCAGGAACTCATTGGGTATCCTGGGCTGCAAGGCACTCAATGCCTGGGGAGAAAATTGTCTCTTTTAAAGAGGCAGAGTGCACCCTGGACTGTTTGTATTATGTTATAGCCAGGGGCTCATATTTTTGTTGTTGTTTGTACACCAGTGGACTGGGATGAGGCTAACTGGGGAAGAGGAGGTCTCATTGGGGCACACTACCATGTACAGGCCCAGTACTGGAGAGGGCACAACAGATACAGGACATGTAGAGACCCCAGCACTGGAGAAGATGCTGCTACAAGGGGTGTAGAGACCCCAGCACCTGAGGGCACTGCTACAAGGGCCCAGGGCCTGGTGACAAAAGGAGGCCAAGCTAGACCGAGGCCTCATGACAGGGAACAATATTTCAATACCACCTGCGAGGCCATGGGGAATGGTAAAGGGGAGGCTTTGGAGCCATGCATCTAGCCCATAAGACTTGGGATGTCCTGCGAGGCACCTATTTAGAGTGGGACCCAGCAAGGGGTCTAAGAACCCACAGGGTTTAGTGGTGTCCATCAGGACTGTGACTGCACAGCAACTTGAGGGCAGCCTCTCTATTTATTATTGAAACCAACAAGACATGGTAGGTGAGATTAAAAGGCACCTGCAGGGTGAAGCTGGCACTGCCATGGAGCCCTAGGGGCATCATGGC